TGACTGTACTTTATCTTTCCGTATTATGCTCGTATTTAATAATTATGTTTACCTTTTGTATACTTAAAAAGGTTGCTTTCAATATATATAGTTATTTGCAAGTATGAAATGTAAAGAAATAACACATAGTTAGTTGGAAAATTATGTTAGTTTCAAATAGAACTGGGGCTAAACTTCTGATATAATAGAAGTTAAATTATCGATTTTAAAATTATACGGGTGCAGTGTTTACAAGATTCATCCAAATTTATTGAAATTTTAATCGTTTAAAGAAATAACTCATACAAGCAGGAAATTCACATTTTTATGAAATCTCAATGGAAAACGGAATTACTTTGGAATGTTGTCAGCACCTTACTCTCTTAAAATTAATATGTCATAAAACTGCACACAACAACATTTTATATATTATTTTACATAAAATATTTATTATATTAAATTTAATTATTAAACTAAACAGAGGTATTAATTTAAATCAATATAACGGTAATATATAAACCGTCGTGTTAAAGAAAAGTATGTTTTGACGGTGAAACGGCCCGACGTCGAAACGGTCACGTGGAAACGGCCATGGCGAAATAACCACGGCTAATAGCCCCATTCCCTATGTTAACATACATTAATGCTCAGTGGGTCACCAGTGTAGTGCAAATAATTTAAAATTATTTTTAAACTAAAATTTAATCGAAGCTTATCGGTGCCAATCATAGCAGCTGAGCAAGAGTGTATATTGAAGGTCACACATGGTCAACTAATGTGTCATCATTAGAAGGGAGCGCAGTAAATTTTTTCAAATAATAACTAACTTGTAGGACAGAAATAATGATCAAGGTTGTGGATATCATCAGGCTGCAGGTTGGCAATCAGTGTTTGATATCCTATGCATCTTGACACTCGCTGCTCCACATTAGCAACAAATAGTTCATCACCAGAGTACGGCGGTGTAGTAAATTTAGATTTTTAAATAGAAATGGAAATAAGCTATACCAGTAACAATCCCGATGACATAGAATTTCATATTGACTAAAGACCAAACCATAATTCATTAATGTGGAGTAAAGGTAATTTAGAAATTTTTTAAACAAATTTAAACTTCAGAACTCTGCTACTCGTCAAAGCTTTTGATGTCTAGTGTTCTTCCTCTCAATCACAAGTGATGAACCATTACTGTGGGACAATAAATAATGCCTTCTGAAGTAAACTCAGTAATTTATTAGTAATGTAGATTTAGATAAATTATTAAAATTAAATGAAGAGGAAAGTTTCGATTTAACGCATCCGAAAAACGCCGGTGGACGTCAAGAGTAGAATCGGCGATGACCAATAAAAGCCATAAGTCATCGGTGATCTATATGGTAATCAATATTGTCGCAATAGCAATACATGAAAAGGGGATGGATGATAAAAACTTGGTAAATAAGGTAACAATAGAAAGCTTTGGAACTATATTGCTAAATCTGTTTCTAATATAATATTTTGAGAAGAATTTGGAAAACACCTACTCAAACTTCCTAATGATATAGATTCTGACAAGTAATTATTTGTCATACTTTCACCAAATTTCTCGGCATGTAGTTTGACAAAAATTATTTTAAAACTCATCCAGATACTTTGTAGAGATATTAGGTATTTTTGGAAGCAGGAAAGTTGAAAAATGAGCAACGCCTTCTCCGGTAATCGAACCGCGGTCCTCTGGAATACGCGCCCAGCATGCGGACCACGACCCCACGAAGGCATGCGAAGAAGGCGGAAGAAATACCTTATAACTTTATTTCAAAATATTGCAATCGAGCATGTTGAAATAAGAAATATATAATTTGGAGGACTGTAATGCTCGTTTAGAGTTTAGTTATGCATTTAAATTGCTCATTAAGTTTAAAATATAAGCTTTCTTTGTCAGTTTCTCATATAAATAGATACTACAATGCTTTCAAAAGGAGCCGTCCAAACGGTATAGTGGTTAGGGAAGCCTGACTGCGATACCAAAGGGTCTGGGTTCGAATCCCGGAGAAGGCATTGGCTGTAATTTTCCGTCCCTTTATAAGAGGAGATGATGGCCCACCCTATTAGGTGCCTCCATAATAAAGAGACCACCACATCTGGCCTTGTATAGATTAATGGACTCACAATCTGCCATTGAAAAAAATTTCAAAAGGCATCTTTCGCTTTGTAGCGAAATATTTACGTATCGCATTTAAGTCTGAAATTTAGGAGCAGCATAAAAATTACTTTCAGCTGACACTACACTGGAAGGTAATACTAATGCTTTCCGAAGAACATTTTGAGCTGAGAATGAAATTTTGGAGAAACTAAAATGTACCTACAAATAAAAATATAAAACTACATACATATAGAGTGTAGATAAGCGATTCTCAACCGGTGGTACGCGTAACACTGGTGAAATCACGCGTCCCACTGCTAGTTCTCGTTTGCTCTTGTATGCGTACCACCGGTTGAGAATCGCTGATCTAGACTCTATATGTATGTAAAAATATAAAACTACATACATATAGAGTCTAAATCAGGGATTCTCAACCAGTGGTACGCAAGAGAAAGTAGGTGATACGCAAAGAAACAAAGTATTTTTAACTATTAAATTCAAAAATCTCATGAAGGAATAGAAAAACTGATAGAAATTTCCTGTGATCGAACTCTAACTGAAGATTTCAAAAAATTTCAAGAATAACACTGTTAACTGTCGGCTGAACCGAAAAAAAAAATTTAAAGAATTTTTAATAAGTACATTTGTATTGTCTTCTTTCACAATGTATTAGTTTGAACAAGGATTTTCTTCCATTTTATATTTGAAAAGTAAATACCAAACAAAATTAAAAGTGGATCCTAATTTATGATTAAAACTAAGTGAAATAAGACAAGACATAAAGAAATTTATCTCTCTTGAACAATACCAAATTTCACTCTAAATTTTAGATTTAAAGTATTACAACTTAAATTTTGTAATTAAAATGGCTGCCAATTTTTAATCTAATATTTTTATGTGTGCATATTAAATACAAATATCCAATAGGTTGTGCAAATGGCAAAATATATTTTTTTAATATTTTTATTGAGAAACTGAAAAATGATCATTGTAAAATGTAGCGGTGGTACTAAAGTCTTTTACATTTTCTTTCGGTGGTACATGTTATTCAAAAGGTTGAAAACCGCTGTTCTAAATTTTAACAGAATACTTTTTTCCATATATGAGGACTACAAGCACTTAATTGTTTCTTCGAACGTTTGGAGAGACATTAGGTATTTTCGAAGCGGGGGACATGAAAAATGAGCAATATCCTTGCTGGGACTCGAACCTGGACCACTTGAACACGAGCCGAGTGTGCTACCGTTACATCACGAAGACATGCAGAAAGCAGCCAGAAAATACCTTATATATTCCGAGTTACTCCAGGTTCTTCTCGTTCGCTCTTGTGTGATGACCGACCATGGCGGCAAATCCGTGGAATCTAGCAATATTACCTTATATATTCCCTTTTTCTAAAGGGCGAATGGAGATTAGGGGATCCAATCGCCAAATCCTAGTGGTGCAGAATCCTCCTCCACCACCTTTTAGTTCGGGCGCTACTGTAGAGCCATTATGGTTTTTGAAGCAGGAGTACATGAAAAATGAACAATTTCCTCGCCGGGACTCGAACCTGGACCACTCGAATGGACCGAGTGTGCTACCGTTACACTACGAAGGCATGCAGAAAGCAAGGAGAAGATACCTATTACGTTTAAGAACTGTGTATGTTACACTTCTTAAAATAATATTAATGACGATAAAATTAAACATTCGTTGGAAGTAATATAACATAATATAATATATTCAATTGCTCAAAATGTACTATAAAATAGCAATGGTCTTCAAATCTAATTCGATTCGACACAATCGGGTTTTGGTGATTATGAGTGTGTTACTTAAAATCATGCACCAAAACACAATACTCGTATTATTCAATAAAGCAAGTAAAACTGTTATTACGAAAATCTACAGCCTAATGAAATCGACAGTGAAGATAAGGACGGATAAAACGATACCGCCAAATAATATTAAATGCAAATTAACAGAAAATGTAACTACCAATACGCTGAGACAATAGTTTGAAGCTCAAATGTTAGTCAAATAAGGCAATTTATCACAACGAGAACTTAAATCTTCTAAAATACCCAAACTAAAAGACAACTACAAATATGTTTTTTTAATAATTACATAAATGCGTATATACTTACTATGTGACTTTGATTTAAAGATACGAGCATGAGTATTGATTAAAGTATTTCTTTATAATATCTCTTAATAAGTGTTTGATTCTGCTTGTTGCCTTAAATTTCTATAATTTGTCGAATAAAATGCAAACAAACACATTTCGAAGTTTAGTATTAAATACACGTTTTATAATTTCCTTTATTCAAACGGTCGGTTTTCATTCAACAAATTACGTATGCAATTTATATACGCTCCTTCGCTACAATGAGTGCGGAGATGTAAGATTTAAATCTACATTATAATTCAAAAAGAATCGTTCCTTTTGAATGTAACGCAGATTTAATTTTTGTTTCACTGTGATAATTTTAACGAAGGTAAACTATACTAATTTGCATTAAAAATGCATACAATACATTCGACTTCATTTCTAGAAAAGCTTATTACTTTAAAGAATTTTTGAAACTTCGTCATCATTTTAAGAACAAACAGTACACATTCTCGGTCTCCTTAACAATCTTTATAATATTGCCCATTTTGTAAATACCTTGAGAATCTATTCAAGAAGATGTACTAAGAGCACCTAATTTTAGAGTCGTACTTGAATTCGAAATACAGATGCTTTAGAGCTATTTTTATTATGTCTTTTTCCTCTCTTTTCACACACCCCAGAAGTACTATTTCTAATATTGGTTTTGATCTTAATCCCAACAGATATTGACCATTATTATCTAACGTTAATTTCTATGTGGAGAAATTTTCGTTAAAATATCTGTAATTTAAATAAAATGACCAATTAATCAAAACCGTAAATCAGTATTAGTTCGCCGCTTCGATGCATAGCGTATTCATAATGGCTGATGCCATTAATGTCTTTAGTCTTATGCTCAATTTCAAGTGCCTCAGGAACCTTGCCCTTTGGGCTTTCCATGGTATTGGCAATATGAATGTGAACAGTTTGTCCTACAAAGTTAAATATAAATAGTATATAAAGCGTAAGATATAAAGAGTATTCGGAGCATTCTGTAATCCATTTAATCCCTTCCAGTTCTGTATGAAAACATTAATTCTCTTAGGGAAGACAAACATATGATTTTTTATAAATAAAAAAAAAATGCAGTTAACATTAATTTTAGAAGCCTTAATTCTGACACTATTTAGTTGAACTAACACGAAAACCATACTTCCGAAAAATTATTAAGTAATCGTCCAAGTTTGTTGGTCACCAAACTGTACTAAAGTATTAATTTTTCATTTACTGCTATTGACCGAAATAAAAAATTCTTAACTGAAACACCCTGTGTTCTCTAAACCTATTAATTATATAGTTTACCTTCACAAACACACAATTTTCCTATTACATCAGCAAAAATCATTAACTTAAACAAGAATTTTCATTTATATTAACATGTTATTTAAAATGATGTACTTTAAAATATACGCAAAGAGTGAAAATACGAATAATGATCAAACGACTACTCCATTGGAAGTAAATAACTTGAAACTCTTATATAACATGCAATTCGCTATTTATTATAATAGTTAATTCGATTACTGTTATATTATAGTAAACTTTAAAATACTTATGTTATACCTTCAAACTATTTGATAATTTCACACACACTTGTTGTGCAACAGCTTAATTTAAACTGGTTGCGATCTACTTTAATATTAAGGAAAAAAATTAACATAAATACTTTTTCCCGTTAAATGTAATATATTCTGCGTGATATATAAAAGAATTATCTTTACAATAATAAATAGTATAAAATTTCAAATAACACATCTTCTTTCATTAGTATAATCATACGAAAAACATTTTAGCAGCAAAGATTGGCATAAAAGTAAATGCGTGTAATAGAAAAGCCAAAGCATAAAACAACTTTTCAAAGACAAAAATCTGAATTTCACAAAATCATTCTTAAAAACAACATATATATTTTACATATATTTTACATACATAGTATTTGCCTGTGAAATTCATGCAATTTTACGTTAATTTTACAGCGTTTAAAAATGTGAGTTTTAAGTGAGAGAAATAAAGTATATGATACGATTAAAAATTGTCTCACAGTTAATAAAAAGTTAGCAATTCAGTACTTAGGTAAATCATCTTAAGTATTGTTAACATATAGGTGGTAGTGTATGGAAAATCTATTTAAATATATTAAATAAGTGTTCGCACACATGTTTTTTATTCTATGACAAATATCCAGGTGCATTACTTATGCACTATCCTACATTTTTAATTACAATAGGATATGCTGTGTTTCATTCCGTTTATTATATTGTAAAATTTCTGTTAATTCAAGAATTGTGTGACTGAATTGCTTTTTCATTCTGTGAAATTGTATTTCCCGCCATAGAAAAAATTATATAGATATATATATATTTATTTCATATGAAATAACAAAAAATTAGCATACCTTTAATAAAATCTACAGCTTGTTCTAGTCCATATGTATCTTTGTCACAGTCGTCCAAGACATAAGCTCCTAACTTGAACCCAGGTAAGAAATCCTCTTGATCATTAACCCAGTCCATTGTATACAGCATACATTCAAGGGCTTGTATACCACCCTGAGGCATAATCGGGCCACAGATTCTAACATCTTCTCTTTCATGTATCATCATCAAACCACCAAGCATAATATCTCCTTTAATGTGTACCACATGTTTGATTGGCCAAGTATAATTAAAATTATCCGTTAATCTGCGCTTTCGGTATAACGAAGAGGCATTCTTTAAAGATGGAAAATGCCTCTTTTCATTTGGTTTTAGTTTATGTTTATAAATGGGCTCAGATAAATGTATGTTAGACATCATTAATTTCTCATTAATTTTCAGCTCGTCAATTCTCGAACCTTTTACAATCTCATCCCATGTGCAACAATTCCATATGAAATATATCATTAACAATTCCTTGAAGACATGAGACATTGTTATGAAAAGAGATGCTCCCCCCATAGCAGTCTAAAGGTTCTGAGAAATTTGAGTATTTCTAGAAAATTTATGAGCACGTGGATTGCTGATAGGAATCGAAAGACACCTTCTCTGGAAGAAACAATCGTTCCATGTGAGTCTTGGAAGGCACCGTTTCATTGATGTGCTCCAGTAATGCTATGAGCGCCCTCTCTTGCGTCGAAAGATTTGCGCGCTGGTCTTTTCTTATTGACGTTGAGTAGGCGTATTATAATAAGCATCATAAGACACTAAGTGGCTCAAATGAGTGAAATAGACATATTATATTAACTACACAATAAAAATATCTGAAACTTTCTTAAGATTTTTCTGCACGTCTCCAGGAACTGTATTTTTAAGAGAAGGAAATTAATACATTACCATACACTACATCATAAATAGTTGACTTGGTGAAAAAGTTTATGGAATAAGAATAAATGTAATAAAGTTTTCCTTATTCAGATAAAGGTATAAATTTCTTTAAGATATAATAAGACTTCCGTCTTGTTGATGAGGATAATATTCTGTTCAAACTCTACTATCACTAATTTTCTTAATAACAATCTCAGAAAGATAAAAAATATTGAAAAAAGTTTTAACTCATGTCATCACTGAAAAATAATGAAATATTCAATTCTGGTTTCAGCTAGATGCCCATGTGAAGTCATTATTATTATGGGTATTTAGACAAATGAAATTTATTTCCCTTTTATTAAACAGAAAACATCTTAAAATAGAGCAAATGCTAGATCTGATTAATATTTTTTCAATAACAGAAAATGGTACTTTTTCCTGGAAATTTCCTACTTCATATAATTTCCAAACATAGACTTCATTAGTAAGAGTAAAATCGAATCCTTTGATGTATCCGTCCTATGAATATAATAAATAAATAAATCACTTTTCTAAAACATAGACGAGGATTTTTATTATTTTCGCGAAGCGAATTTCGTGTCCTGACAAAAGAGAAATTATTTATTTTCGCTTTGTCTTTTAGAAACATCTATTTTAAGCCTCGGCTTTCAACAATACAATGGAAGAAAGTTACAGTTACATCTAGAACAATTAGGTCTTTTAATAAATACGTTTTTATGTCTTCATGTGGCTTTCATTTCTGACAAAAAATTATCAGAATGAATTTTTTAACTCCCTTTAGTTTCCCACTGTTACTTTGAGCAGCTCTGTTTAGTTAAGTAATTTTATGTTTTGTACTTTGAATTTCTGTGGGTTAGTTCTTAACTTAAAGGCTCATTTAACCTGCTACCTAACAATTTTGTTTGGTATTAACTCGGAATTCGAATATGAAACTCAAACTGCGCTTTTTAATTTCTAAAGAGGCCGAGCGGTAAAGTCGCTGAACACTGGTAGTCGGTCCGAGGCTCGAATCCCGCGAACGGCTTTTCTGCATGGGTGCTTTCGTGGTTTTCCCCATGTGTAACGTGTAATACGAGCCAGTTTCCCTTAGAAAGTCCTCCACGAAGGCATCTCTCCCCTTAGGCAGATAGCCCTCGAGGCTTTGCCGTAATTAAATAACCTAACCTAATCTTAATTTCTAAAGAATTGTATTTTTAATATATTTAATTTTCTGAAATTTTCATTGCCAATGGTAAGCTCTCTCTCGAAGTAAGCTGTTAGATTACATTGCGGAATTTTAGATTATTTTTCCCTTTTTAATTGAAATACTATGTGGGGATGATTAATGGTGCCACAACTAAACATCAAACCACAATTATTAAGCAATTTTTGACGTATTTTGAAAGCCAGTTTACATTCTTTGTAACTTATCTAGTTTATTTTTCTAAGAAAAATCTTCTAAAAAATAAGATACTTTGCAAAATAAGCATCCTTCTAACTAGATCTGTTCTAACGGTGGCTAATACATTTAGATTTATATGTTCAAAATATTCCTAATTTCAGTGCTAAAAATGTTTTCATAATATTCTCTATTTTAGTTTGATAAATTATGGAAGTGGAATTACGTAAATTTCCTAGAATCTTTATTTATAGAACTATCGCCTTACAGCAATTTAATGCTAACAGTTGATATTTGGTTCTCCTTTATCGAACACCCAAAAAGTCTGCTGTAGATGCCATATGATTTTCTTGGTCGTCTATTAAATAATACACATCTTCTGGTGCACTTCATTTGCATCTATTTCCTAGATTCATTTTAACTTAATTAAGCTATCCCTCAAGACAAGTTGAAAATGACATGAAAATTTACAAATTTTAAAATTAAATATCCTGGTCAATTTTTGTTATCGGGAGTCAATTTTAAATAATTTTATTTCTTACAACGACTATAAAACTTTCCAAAATATAAGTACAGGAACCAGGAGATCATATTAAAAGTTAGATTTCGCTAATTGTCCAAAATTATTTTCTTAACTTGAAATTATCAAAACAAAAACATTTTCGTCATTTAAAACACTTTTGTAGCTGGAAGTGTATGTCTACAACCAACGATTGCGAAAACAAAGACCCACGGAGAAATTTTAAGCCGGGTAAGGTGTTAGGTATCTATGTATATACACAAGTTTAGTGCTTCCGGATTGCAATAAAAAAAGAAATGAGCAAAATTACATGTTAGCGGGTGTCCCAAAAGTAACGCAAGAGGGGAATTTGGCGCCATTTTTGCATTAAGTTGTTGGCAACCCTGAAAAAATTAGTTTGAAAGCCGATAGTTTAGGGTTAGTGAAAATGGAGCGTTATACGATACAACAACGTATCTTCGTTATTGAACAATATTTTAAAAATAATGAAAGTTTGGCGGCTGCAGTTCGAAAATTTTATATAAAGTATGGTAAAAATAGTGTTTTAACCTCGTCAACTGTGAAACGATTAATTGAAAAATTTGTGGAGACTGGATCAGTTCGAGACGCTAAACACACCGGTCGTCCAAAAATAAGCCGTTCAAATGTCAATATTGGAGCAGTGCGGGAGAGTGTTGTTGGAAACACAGGAAAATCAATTCGGTGTCGTGGACAGGAATTGCGGATTTCAAGAAGCTCTCTACAGCGTATACTCACAAAAGATCTGTGTCTTCATGCTTACAATATTCAATTAACACAACAACTGAAGACTAATGACCATGAACAGCGAAGAGAGTTCGTGGAATAGATTATTAATCATCAAAAAGTGGATGCTGGTTTTACGAGCAAAATAATCCTAAGTCATGAACCACATTTTCACCTCAATGGCTTTTTTAATCGCCAAAGTTGCCGTGTTTGGGGTTCGGAGAACCTCGTGTGATTAGCGAAAAACAAATGCACCCACTACGTGCCACTGTTTGGTGCGGATTTTGAGCAGGAGGTATCGTCGGACCATACTTTTTTGAGAATGAGTCTGTTCAAGCAGTAACTGTTAATGGTGCTCGTTATCGCGACATGATAACACAGTTCTTTTTGGGTGCGTATATGGGAGCAAAGCCGCGCAGGTCATTTGCCCGATGCGTTATTCCATAAGTAACCCTAACCTATGTACTTTATGATTCACTTTAAAAATAAATATCTAAAGATTAAAAACTCTCTTTTATATTGAATCCAAATCTTGCGTTAATTTTGGGACACCCTATACAAAAATGGAATCTAATAAGGAATGTATCCATCCCTAGCTACAATACATTGGCGGCAGCGAAGTTCCATGCTTTCAATTAAGTTGTCGGTCAGTGGAATGGAAAGCAACGACCAGACACGGAATAATTCTTGTTAAAGCTGATCTAACGACCTTGGAGGAAAACTTAAAGCAGAACTTATCACCCAAGGTAGTCCCAAAGATACACTATCGGGTTCAGGTCTGTAGATTGAACTGACCATTCCAACTGCTCTATACCGTGACCCTCAAGCCATTCTTCAGGAACCTGAGATCGGTGCGGTAGCGCATTATCGTACATCGGAAGAAATACAGGACCAATAGCAGCGGCATAAGGGCAGACATATTGATCAAGAATCTCGTCTCGATATCTCACACCAGTATCGAGTCATGTGTGAGATATAAGTTACTCCATGGAACAACTGTAGGCCAGTGTGACCACCGATAGAGATCCCAGCCCAAACCATTATTACACCATCTTTGTAAGTGTGTTGTATCTCGTGCGTTGTTCACACCAGATCAGCTGACGACCTGAATCACTCTCCAGTGTGAACTGGACTCATCTGTGAAGAAAGCAGCCTGTTGACTGGTCTAGGAGACGTGTTCACGTGTTTTCTTGCCCAACATAAATAGGCACATCTGTGTCCTCGGGTCAAGGGGACGCAAACAACTAGTCGTCTTGCATACAGAGAATTATGCAGGCGTCTGCGCATTGTAATAGCTCACATTCCTGTTCATGTGACCCCTAAATGATCAGCCATGAGCTGAGGCACAGTAATGTTAGTTCTTCTTCGGGCCGAAAGAGCTAAATAACGGTCTTCCGCAGGTAATGTAACTCTAGGTCTGCCTGGAACATGTCTTCTAAACGCAGAATCCTCGGCTTCAAATTGATTCCATAGTCGGTTGACTACACTACGAGAGACATCAAGACGTGTAGCAGCATTAGCTTGTGACATCTTCATTTCCATCCATTTGATCGTCCACGACCTCAACAAATCGGGCAAACGACTTCTCCTAAACATTGATAGACTCTCCTCGATATTGTCCACGAAACTGTAATAACAACTGAAGAGCAACATCCATGAACAAAATTATAATTTTTGCATTTTTCTCCAATTCCTATATAAGTATTTATTTCTATTAAATAAAAGTGGTAGCTATTGTGCATATATTTTCTTTAACTTCGTTAGTGTCACACATACGAACTGTGAATTTAAATGTTGCTGATATATTTGTACTGGTGAGCTTCGAAAAACTTGCTGTTCCTTAACTTTTGAACGGCAGTGTATAAGTATAATTGAGACCGCATTAAAATTCAGACATTTTTTTTTAAATTTGACATTGCCAAAACATGAATATTTTCTGCAATTAAATGTATATGATTAAGACCAACAATTTCGAAAATAAATGCCGGGTAAGGGAGTGGGAATATATATATATATAT